ACAAACATTCTCATTGCTTTGGCTGTCATGTTGTAGCCTATGTGAACCTTGGTGGTTATGTGGCTATAATGTGCAACATGGGCTCTTGTATCTAATCCAACTTGAAGATTGCTATAAATCCTCTTTACAAAATTTAGTGTTTTTTAGTGTTCATCATTTTCATGTAGTCCTGTGATTTCCAAGAGTATAGTGTGCCCTTGTCATCCATTATTTTCATTTCCTTGTTTGAACTCAGGCTTGCCTGATCACCATCATACATGCCAAAGCTGAGCTATCCACTTTTCTGTATTCAGGAAAAAAAATAAAGAAAAAATCATAAAGGAGAACTTCAGATTGAATCCTTTATAAATGAATTCTTTTGTTTGTTTGTTTGATGATGGTGATGGTCACTGCAGGAAAACGTGTGCAAATATTCATCAGCGTGAAAGGAAAACTGTCCCTCTGTCCCACACCCACTTCCACCCAGGAAATGAAGAATGAATATGTCAACCCTCTATCTCAACCTAGAACAGCTAGCTGGTAGTCAAGGGAAGGAGAAGAAAACTAGTCAATAGTCTTAAATAACAAAACCAAAAGACCCTTCCTGCTATTATCTTAGAAGGAATATGTAAAGCAACCCCCCTCCCCCCAAAAAAACCCCACAAATGATGTACTGACTACTTCAATGTCATCAAAATTCTGTTACTCAACTCACCAAAAAAAGTGTCTGGGGTGCTAGATTGAGACATAACATTTTTTCCCAGTTTATTATGCTACTCCATCATTAGAGAAATTATTTTTAAATTATTTTTTATTTTATAATTTTTACATGACTATCCAGTATTGAATAGACATGTTTTTAAAGCTACCTGATGCATTAAAAAGAAAGACTGGAAGGAAGTAATACCAAAATGGTTCTCTCTAAGGGGACATTAAAAAGGATTTTCACATTTTTGTTACACTTTCCTGTTATATTCCAAATTATCTGCACTGAACTTGTGAAACCTTTGTAAACTAAAATATAAAATGTTTAAAGCTCTCATTTATTACAGAAGCTATAAAGTAATTTTTCTGAGGTTCAGCAAATGATAATATAGTAATATCATCTCTCTATATTTTCATGATGATTGGTTTTATATTCAGATTTCATTTGAGGATTAGACATTACGGTAATCCAACAACTGTTCTTTTGACACAGTTTTAGCTAAATCAATGGCAACTTTTAAAAACTACACTTAAATAGAATTTTTCTCTTTTTCTGTAATTAAAAAAGCAGAGTGGAGGAAACAATTAGCTAAGATATTTTTATTTCTCATGTTTTACACATGATTAAAGAAACTTGCTAGCGATTTAATGTTGTTAAAGAAGGAAAGACAGGAGAAAAGGAGGGAGGGAGGGACAGGGAAGGAGATGGGAAATGAGGGGGTGAGGGGTGGGCAAAGAAGCAGGAAGGGGAAATTGCTCCTACTTACCATGACCATTTTGCCATTCTTAATCTCTCTTACAAAATTTGTCTCTTTGCCATCCCATTTCTGTACATGGACAAGTTTGTCTCCATCCAGGCTAACAACAGACTGAAACCAACAACAAAATGCAGAATATATCAATAGTTACAGGTCAGATTTCTGATATGGAAGCCAAATGAATTGATTTTTATCTATTTAAAAATTTTTTTAAAACATTTATTTATTTATTTTTGACTGCATTGGGTCTTTGTTGCTGAGCGTGGGCTTTCTCTAGTTGCAGCGAGCAGGGGCTAATCTTCATTGCGGTGTGTGGCCTTCTCATTGCAGTGGCTTCTCTTGTTGCGGAGCACGGGCTGCAGGTGCGGGCTTCAGTAGTTGTGGCACACGGGCTCAGTAGCTGTGGTGCACGGGCTTAGTTGCTCTGTGGCATGTGGGATTCCCGGACCAGGGATTGAACCCATGTCCCTTGCATTGGCAGGTGGATTCTTAACCACTGTGCCACCAGGGAAGTCCCTGAGTTGATATTTTAAAGAGTGGTAATTGAATAAATAGTGATCAACTAATTATCAAAGTAGTACAATTTCCTCTGTTGTTTCCAGAGTCATTATTATAAAATCTCTAGTAATTCATAATTTGATTGAAATGTGTACATCTAGATGCAAAAAATTACATATTAGAAATAAAAATCCTGAACTAGTGCTTTCTGACTAATCATCCTACTCTTTTAAACAGAGTCTTAGAATGAGGCAAGCTATTGATTGAGTCAACCTGAGGCAAAAGAAAGATTAAACAAAATGCAGTCTTTCAAATGAACACTATTAAATACTTTCTGAAATACAGGTTTAATATAAAATGAGAAAAACACATTGTAAAGAAACAGATTCAGGGCTTCCCTGGTGGCACAGTGGTTGAGAGTCCGCCTGCCGATGCAGGGGACACGGGTTCGTGCCCCGGTCCGGGAAGATCCCACATGCCGCGGGGCGGCTGGGCCCGTGAGCCATGGCCGCTGAGCCTTGCGCGTCCGGAGCCTGTGCTCCGCAACGGGAGAGGCCACAACGGTGAGAGGCCCGCGTACCGCAAAAAAAAAAAAAAGAAAGAAAGAAACAGATTCAAGATTTGAGCTATAGTAGGTGCCCATTATTCAGAATATAAACTATGAACACTAGGATGCAAAATTAACTCTTGGTCCTTCTCTCTGAAGTGAAATACTGAGAACATTTTTCACTTCCCACCATCTAGAAAAAAAGAAATATTGGGACTTTCTCTCTTTCCTTCTCTCCTTCCCATGCCCACCCCCAGAGAAGGAGCGGCTCCTCACCTTACAGTTTCTGTCGTCTGGAGTGGTTTCATCAAACTCTTCTCCCAGGTGGAAACTAATCTCCGTGTTCTTGAATGTGCTTTGAGTCCTGATCACCACTTTGTCCCCCTCCTGACTGATGATCACTGTTGGTTTAGTCACATTTCCCACCTGCCTAGTGGCAAAGCCCACACCTAAAATAGCAAAAGGAAGCAGCACAGTTGGCTGCAACTTCCAGAATAGCTCACAAAGCAGGAATCTACCTTCCTATTCTGGAATCTATGTCCTAAAGTGTAAGTTTCATTAGAGTATGTTTAGCCCATCAATTATGCAGGACAACTACTGAGGCGTAATAATAAGTGGATGCTCATTTGGAAGCATAAATAGTAAAAGGAAGCTGAAGAAAAAGCGGAAAAGGCGCAGAAGCCTCATGTCCTCCACAGAATACTAAAGGCTCCGTTATTTGGCCCTAAGCAAGAAAGCAGGCAAATGCTACATTTAAATATCCATTCTGTGAGAAACACACAGCCTAGCACCCTGATTACGACAATGTGATCTGTCTTTGTCTCTTGCTAACCTGATGGGTGAAGAAGGAATCTGCAAGTATCTGAAGCTGCAGGTTAAGATGAGAAAAAGCACATCTTATTTTTTACCTACCTAGAGCCTTCATGTACTCGTCAAAATTCTGACTGTCCGTCAACTTCCACGTAGCACAGAAAGCCTCCACCATCCTTACCCTTTTCCCGTTAGCTTCAGAATCAGATAAAAGAGGCAGAGGCAAGGATCTTCGGATCTTAGGGCCACTGCAATTCGGAAGACCCCTTTGCACCTCACGGCAGCTCCTGCCTTCTTATTAAGAAAAGAGGCAGGCAGAAAGCCAAGGATTTGAATTGCAAACACATCCCTCCAATGTCCCTCTTTCAGGGAGGCCGTTGCAGGGGCAGGAGATGGGAAGGGGGGCATTCAGCGAGGTTCCAATCCTCTTTGTGATTGGCTCAGGCCACTGGGTTAGCGGAGTAGGTCGAGCTCCTCCCAAACCTCACACTGCAGCCCTCCTGCCTGAGAAATCTCTGCAAAGATTCAGTGAGGCTGGAGGCAGGGAGCGTATAATGAGAGAAGGTCTTTCAGGTTCAGCCAGAAAACTTGGCAAAGGCCATTTCAGACTGTGAGGAAAGAAAAAAACGCACAGTAGGACATTCAGATTGATTTCCGTTAATGGCAAAGCTGGTTGCAAATGAGGACCCCGCCTTAAAGAAAACCACTGAAACGCCAGACTTTTCAGACAAAAGAGACTGAATAGTGCCTTTTATTTTCTCTCGTATTTATAGGGAGAGCAAAACATGAGCTAGAATTTGCCAGACTCGGGAAAGAGGAGGGGGAGGGGGTGTAAATACCTTCCCTAGATTGTACTGCTAGAAGACTACTCCGGCTGAGTACTAATGGGACACTAATTTTGGCCTCTTCCCAACACAAAACTGAGTGTATTTAAAGATCCCATTTTTCTTTCTAAGGCTATGAGAACCAGACTAAGATGGAAAAGGGACCTAAGGGTGAGTACGGTTAGGATTCACTAATGAGCTACAAAAATAAAGCAGAACACACTCCTTTTCCCCACTCTTTCAACAGATTGTAGAATTGAAGTGGAAAAACTGGACAGAAGTTCATTTGGTAAGATTTTAAATGACCTGCACTATAGAACCTTTTGATTTCCTGAGGCCACATCTACATCTGTATACTAGTTGTGAGTTAGCAATGGAGGGACGGCAAGAATTGGAGCAGAGGTGGGAATCGGAAGACTTTGGCTTCAGTTCGTCCTGGCTTAGGGCATCTCAAGAATGGCAAGCTACCTCCAGGGTTCTAAGTAATAACATATTTAAAGGGGGACTCAGACTCCCCTATACCCAGAGTTTCTTCCTGCTTTATTAGTGCAGACCTGTGATGAAAAGCAGGTTCCCCCCCTTTCATGGGGACAGATCAGGGGACTCTGACTTGGCAGTCTCTGCTCTTCTCTCTCTCTCTCTCTTCCCATTTCAATCTCAGCCCACTGCCTTTCAGCTTCTGTCCACACCAAATACAAGAGACAAGGCTCAGAATGCATCTTACTCCAACTGTCAGCTCTGTGGTTCTACTTTGGTGTCTCAAAGGTACCTCAAAACATAAACTCAATCTTTCCCCTCACCTGGTCCTCCTCCAGTTTTCACCATGTTTGTGAATGGCAGCATCATCCACCCAACTGCACAAGACAGAAAACTTGAAATCCTTTCTAACCTTTACTCTCTACATCAAAGTCAGTGTCAGAGCCCATCTATTTTCCTTCCTGAATATGTCTCTTAACTTCTCACTTTTCCCCATCCCCACAACCACCTTCTTAATTCAAGTAACCATTGTCTTTTACTAGTCTTATGGCAACAGCCTCTTAACTGTTCTCCCTGCAGCCATGCCTGATCTCCGGCTGTTCACTAGGCTGAAGCCGGAGCAACCTTTTAAAATACAAATCTGCATCTTCCTAGTGACTAATGGTGCTGAGCACACTTTTCATGTGCTTCTCTGCTGTTAATCTATCTTCTTTGGTGAAGTAACTGTTCAAATCTATTGTCCATTTTCAATTAGATTGTTTCTTTCTACTGAATTGTAAGAGTCCTTTATATAGTCTAGACAAGTCATTAGTTGAATGTGTTCTTCAAAACTTTGTTCTGTTCGGTTATAGATACAGAGAACAAACAGATGGTTGCCAGAGGGGAGGGGGACTGGAGGGAGGAAAGAAATAGGCGAGGAAGATTAAGAGGTACTAACATTGCAAAATAAATGTCACAAGTATGAAATGTACAGTGTGGGGAATACAGTCAATAATTATGTAATATCTTTCTATGTAACATATCATAACTAGACCTAACATCGTTGATTGTTTGGAAATGTATAGAAATACCGAATCACTGTGTTGTGTAATAGCAACTAACACAGTGTTGTAGGTCAAATGTACTTCAAAAACAAACAAACTCATAGGAAAAGAGGTCAGAATTTTTGTCACCAGAGGCAGAGGGTAGGAGGAGAGGGGATTGGATGAAGGCTGGTCAAAATAAGATGAATAAGTACTAGGGATGTGATGTACAACACGATGACTATAATGAACACTGCTGTGCATTATACAGGAAAGTTGTTAAGAAGGCAAATCCTAAGAGTTCTCATTGCAAGGAAAAAATATTTTTTCTGTCTTTAATTTTGTATACAGATGAGGTGATGGATGTTCACTAAACTTATTGTGATAATCATTTAATCTTGTATGTAGGTCAAATCATTATGCTGTATACCTTAAACTCATACAGTGCTGTATGTTAATTATATCTCAATAAAACTGGAAGAAAAAATGTTTTTTTGTTTTTCATTTTCTCAATTGTGATAATGGATACATTGGTGTGTCAAAATTTATCAGTTGTACATGTTAAATGTATTCAGTTGATCTTATGTCAAATATACTACGGTAAAACTATTTTTAAAAAGCTAAATCTTATCTTGTCTCTCTCCTGATTAAACTCCAAATGGCTTTTTCCTGCTCTCAGGTTAAAGACCAAAATTCCTATCATTGCCTGTACCAGACCTGCCTCTAACTTTTGAAGGACTTGGAGTAAGAATCCAAACAGGGCTTCCCTGGTGGCACAGTGGTTGAGAGTCCTCCTGCCGATGCGGGGAACACGGGTTCGTGCCCCGGTCTGGGAGGATCCCACATGCCGCGGAGCGGCTGGGCCCGTGAGCCATGGCTGCTGATCCTGCGCGTCCGGAGCCTGTGCTCCGCAGCGGGAGAGGCCACAACAGTGAGAGAGGCCCACCGTTACCTTGCAGCCGACCCTCTGGATCAAGGGTTGCGGGACCTCCCGCGGCAAAGCAACAGTAAGCGCTCCAAAGGCAGAGCAGAAGACCGGAGTCTCTCATCCTTCCCGGCCACATCCCCTTCCCCCGAACGGGACTGGAGGAAAGACCACAAAAAAAAAAAAAAAAAAAAAAAAAAAATCCAAACAGAGGTTCACATGCCATATGCCTAAACAGTAAAAGTTATGGATCAAACGATGCCCACAGCCTGACCCAGCATTGAGTCAGGACTCATAGCCACCCCTCCACCCTTTCCTGACAGGCTGCCCCATGGCTGCCCACCGGCACTGGAACAGATCTGGTAGGGCAGGCAAGTGGAAGCTTGTCTGGAGCTCAGAGTTTCCAGTCAGTGACTAGAGAACCCTAAACCTGCAATGCGGACTAACATGGACTTGCTGTTGTGCTGACATGAGCCTGAAGCTGCCAAAGGCTATAGTGAAAAGTCTGAAATGAAACAAGCCCAAGGGAAGCAAAGCTTATACATCAGACACATCCGACATCATTTGAGCCTTTGAACCAAGTCCCTGAAGATAGCCCCACCTATGAATTTTTCATATGTTCTTTTTTGCTAAATCTAGGCGACTAATTAATCGATTTACACAAACCATCCTTATGGTAGAAGTTCTCAGACCAATTTATTTTGTTATGTCAAAATATTCTTATATGTTCCCCTTAATAAAACATACTTAAACTGTAGAATGTTTAATTATTATTCTAAAATGTAATAAACCACTTCTTCTTCACGGTCCAAGAATATAAGATCAGGATTGTTGAGAGCAGGGTGCACGTATTAGACATCTTCATCTTAGCTCCTAACTGATCATGCTGCTGAAATATTCATCTGTCTCATTTATTTCTTCCACTCTTTAGATAAGGAAAGGAACTGATGATATATTTATTTTAACTTAAAGCATATATTTCTGTAATTCAGATTTTTTTACACCTTATATAAAACATAAAAGCTCAGCAATTTAGAGATAGGTTTTTTGGAATTCTATATTAATTTAGTAATAAGCAGGAGAGAATATTGTTATCCAGATGTCTATAGCAGAAATTTTAGGAAAAGCCACTTGACTATTTTGTAATTCCCTAAACTGACACATTTAATCTTACTATTTTTAATTGCTCAGGATATAATAGATTTACAGCCAAGAATAGCTGCTTTCAAATAATAGGTAATAGGTAATAATAAGTCATTTGCTCTATTTATTGAGGACTTTATTAGAAGAGAAAGTGAAAGAACAGAGAAAAGATTGTGCTGTGCTAAGGAGGATTCAACTAATGGATATTTTTGGTAACCTAAATGGGAGGGAAGTCCAAAAGGGAGAGGATATCTGTATGAGTATGTCTGATTCATTTTGTTGTGCAGTGTAGGCTAACACACCATTGTAAGGCAGCCATACTCTAATAAAAATTAATAAAAAATAATAGATATTAATTTTAAAAAACTAATAGATATTTTTTTCAATTTTCCTAAACCTAGGAACAATTTACGATCTTGCTATGGCTTCTATAATGTAAATGCATCCACAGACTTAAAAAAGGAAAGAATGTGACATAGTGACCCCTCTCTCAAGGCTATGACCTTTATGTATGGGAATTTGGACTCTAAAAGAATCCATTATAAAGATTATTTTTAATAGTGAAATGAACAAAGAAAAATAGCTTTGGGAGATCTTGGCAAAATCTCCACGTGGGGCTGAATTTCCTGGCACCTGCTTTATGGAAATTTTTCCTTCTCAAGAAAATAAAAAGTTTTAAATAAAACGTTAACACTGCTCTTGAGCCAAGTAAGCCAACTGGGGTCATGACACTATTTCCGATAAGATATCCAAGGATCTGCACCAAAAGAGATTAAGTAACATTCAAAGTACTTGCTTGAGGTTCTTTCTGTTACCGAATGGCACAAAATAAAATAGTAATGGAAGATCTCTATAGCTGGAAATGAAATGTGA